TGCAGCCATCATTGTTGTTTGGCGGGCCTGGGCTGGATTCGAACCCGCCACCTTAGGTGTATGTGGCTGGCGCCTTAGCCACTTGAGCCGCAGGCACTGAGCCAACATCTGAAGTTTCAATCGCAAAGTTGAGAATAAATGAAAACCTAGCATTATGAAGATGAGTAATAATTTGGGGGAAGAGGGGGATAGAAAAGTATCAAGTTTCTATTATGGGGTTGGGCATGGTGGCTCACACCTGTAATACTAGTGCTTTAGGAGGCTCAAGTAGAGGATTACTTGAGCCAGGAGTTCAAGACCAGCCTGAACAACACAGCAAGTCCCTGTCTCTACAAAAAAATTAAAACTTTAGCCAGGTAAGGTAGAACATGCCCGTACTCCCATCTGTTCAGGAGGTTGAGGCAGGATGTGCATAGGAGCCCAGGAGTTTGAGGCTGCAATTTGCTATGATGATACCACTGCAGTCTAATCCAGGTGACAGAGGAAGACCCTGTCTCAAAAAAATGAAAAGTTCCTATATGTTCCTTATATAGGTTGAGAATCCCTAATCCCCAAATCTGATATCCAAAATGCTCCAAAATCTCAAACTTTTTTGAATGTCAGCATGATGTTCAAAGGAAATGCCCATTGGAGCATTTTAAATTTTCAGATTAAAGATGCCCAACCAGTATTCTGTAAATATTCTAAAATATGAAAAAATCTGAAATCCAAAAGAAAATCTGAAATCTGACACTTCTTGGTCCCAAGCATTTAATAAGAGATACTGGGCTGGGTGAGGTGGCCCACTCCTGAAATCCTAGCACTCTGGGAGGCCAAGGCAGGTGGACTGCCTGAGCTCACAGGTTCAAGACCAGTTTGAGCAAGAGTGAGACCCTGTCTCTAAAAATAGCCAGGAGTTGTGGTGGGTGCCTGTAGTCCCAGCTGCTTGGGAGGCTGAAATAAGAGAATTGCTTCAGCCCAAGAGTTTGAGATTGCTGTGATATATGACACCACGGCACTGTACCACACATCAAAGTGAGATTCTATGTCAAGAAAAAAAAAAAAATAAAAGAGATTCTCAACCTGTGCTGAACACTAAGAGGGATAAAAAGCAGATACAAGACATAATCTATTTCCTGAAAGAACTTCTTACATAAAACAGTGTTTCTCAATTCTGGCTGTGCTCCAACCTTGTGAAGCTTTTCAAAAATAGAGTGGTCTTGCCCGGCACGGTGGCTCACGCCTATAATCCTAGCACTCTGGGAGGCCAAGGGGGTTGGATTGCCTGAGCTCACAGGTTCGAGACCAACCTGAGCAGGAGTCAGACCCCACCTCTAAAAAAATGGCTGGGCGTTGTGGCAGATACCTACTTGGGAGGCTGAGACAAAAGAATCACTTGAGACCAAAAGTTTGAAGTTGCTATAAGTTGTGACACTAGGGAACTCTACCAAGGATGACAAGTGAGGCTCTGTCTCAAAAAGAAAAAAAAAAAAAAATTGAGCAGTCTGGCCTGGTAAGGTGGCTCATGCCTGTCACCCTAGCATTCTGGAAGGCCGAGGTGAGTAGACTACTTGAAGTCAGGAGTTTGAGACCAGCCTGAGCAAGAGTGAGACCTTGTCTCAACTAAAAATAGAAAAAACTAGCCAGGCATTATGGTGGGCTCCAGCTACTCAGGAGACTGAGTTAAGAGGTCACTTCAGCCCAGGAATTTGAAGTTGCTGTGAGCTATGATGACATAGCACTCTAGCCAGGGCAATAGAGTGAGACTGTCTCAAAAAGACAAAAAAACCTCCACAAGTGATTCTTTCAGACATCATGGGTAAAAACCACCCACGTACTATCACTGACAGATAAAACCACCAGTTGGAACAGAGAGAACTGTGGTGAGGGATAATAACAAATGTGAACCTAAAGCTAAATTTGGCATTCCTGAAACCATAATCCTGGGTCTTGGCTTTTGTTTTGTTTTGAGAAAGAGTCTCACTCTGTCACCCTAGGGTAGAGACCCGTGGCGTCACAGCTCACAGGAATCTCAGATTCCTGGGTTCAAGTGATCCTCTTGCCTCAGACTTCAGAGTAGCTGAAACTACAGGCACCTACCACCACACCCAGCTAGTTTTTCCTACTTTTAGTAGAGATGAGATCTCACTCTTGCTCAGGCTGGCTCAAACTCCTGAGCTTAAGTGATCCACCCACCTTGGCCTTCTGAGTGCTGAGATTACAGGCATGAGCCACTGTGCCCACTCTCATAATGCTGGGTTTTAATATTAACTGCAATCACTTATTAGCTGAGACCCTGAGGAACCCACTTAGCCTATCTTTTGTCTCAATTTCTGTAAATAGGACAATACCAGGTGCCTGCATCTAACTGGATTGTTGTAAGGATGAAAAAAAGTAATGTAAATATAGAAATGAGCACACTGTTTAACACCTATTGATCATAGCACAGAATGAGGACATACTATGTGCCAAGACTAAGTGCTTGCTATACAATATCTCATTCAAATCCTTATAACAACTTTAACATTATTATATACTTTTACAAATAGGGTAGCAAGCACAGAAAGGCTAAAAGTTCACAATGCTTGTAAGTGGTACAGTCAAGACTTTGTTTAAGTCATATAGCTCCAACTACTATACTATTAAGCCATATTAATTACTAAGAACTCTTATTACTGAATTCTTTATGTAGCTATATAAAAAGTTAAGTCTTTATTTTCGTGTTTCGTAGAGAAGGGGTCTCACTGTGTTGCCTAGGCTGGTCTCAAACTCCTTAACCGCAAGTGATACTCCCAAAGTGCTGGAATTACAGGAATGAGCCACTATTCCCAGCCAAAAGTTGTTTTGACTCTGGACTTTAATGCTTATTAAATTAGGAACAACTGCTAATGCATTATATTAGGAAATATTAAATTCTACAAAAAGTAAGAAAAAGCTAAATATAAGTATAGAGGAAAGCTCAGGAAGGAAAGAAAAAGCTCTAAAGTTATATAATGGGAAATGATTGCACAGACAAAAAAACCATTTGGCTTCAGAGTAGATCAGAAGATGACTATGAGTCAGCAATATGGGGAAGGTTACTATATTAGAGAAGAAACCACAACCTGTGCAGGAGTGAGACCCTGTCTACTAAAAATAGAAAAACTAGCTGGCTGTTGTGGTAGGTGCCTATAGTCCCTGCTATGGGGGAGGCTGAAGCAGGAAGATCTCTTGAGCCCAGGAGTTAAGGTTGCTGTGAACTATGATCACATCACTGCACTTTAGCCTAGGCAACAGAGTGAGACCAAGGGAATGAGAAAGGGAAAGGAAAAAGGGTTAAGGGTTAATTAGCTGTCAAAACTGGAAGGATTTTTTTTAAAGGTTGTATAAAACTTTGCAGTTCAAGTTATGAAACATTAAGAATGGGCAAGAGAGGGCAGTGCCTGTGGCTCAAAGGGGTAGGGCGCCAGTCCCATATGCTGGAGGTGGTGGGTTCAAACCCAGCCCCAGCCAAAAAACTGCAATAAATAAATAAATAAGAAAGAACATTTATTAAAAAAAAAAAAGAATGGGCAAAAGAGAGGACAGCGCCTGTGGCTCAAAGGAGTAGGCCACCGGCCCCATATACCAGAGGTGGCAGTTTCAAACCCTGCCCTGAAAAAACTAAAAAATTAAAAAAAAAAAAAAAAAAAAGAATGAGCAAGAGGCTCGGCGCCCATGCAGCTCCCTGGTTAGGGCAGGTTCAAACCCCATCCAGGCCTGCTAAAACAACAACTACAAAAAAAAAAAAAAAAAGCTGAGCATTGTGGCAGGTACCTATAGTCCCAGCTACTTGAGAGGCTAAGGCAAGAGAATCACTTAAACTCAAGAGTTTGAGGTTGCTGTGAGCTGTGACACTACAGCACTCTACTGAAGGTGACATAATGAGACTCTGTCTCAAAAAAAGAACGGGCAAGAGTCAGAGGTCGCAGATCTCCTTTCTGGGGAATTTCAAAAAGTACTCTTTGTATTAATCCAGAAAGCTCTTGGATATTTGCTGAAGTTGGCAGCAAATATAAAGATAAAATTATTGAGGCATGGGATATTTAAAAGATGTTACAAAGCATTTGACATGTTTTCTCCTGGAAGCCAGGGGATTTGGTTAAGTATGACTCCATACAACAGTGTCTTTCCTTTTTTTGAGACAGAGTCTCAAGCTGTCCCCCTGGGCAGAGTGCCGTGGCATTACAGCTCACAGCAACCTCCAACTCCTAGGCTCAAGCGAGTCTCCTGCCTCCACCTCCCAAGTAGCTGGGACCACAAGCGCCCGCCACAACGCGCGGCTATTTTTTGGTTGCAGCCATCATTGTTGTTTGGCGGGTCCGGGCTGGGGATTCGAACCCGCCACCTTAGGTGTAAGTGGCTGGCACCTTAGCCCATTGAGCTATAGGCGCCAAGCCACAACAGTGTCAAACTATTTTATCTCCCAGCATGCTTAAACCTACAGTTAAACTCTTTTGGTACACTTAAATTATAGTAATCAAAAAAAAAAGAGCAAAAAAAGGGGGAGGTGGCTCATGCCTATAATCCCAGCACTTTGGGAGGCTGAAGCGGGTTGACCACTTGAACTTGTAAGTTTGAGACCAGCATGAGCAAAAGTGAGACCCCATCTCTAAAAATAGCTGGGCATTATAGCGGGCGCCTGTAGTCTCAGGTACTTGGGAGGCTGTGGCAAGAAAATCACTTGAGCCCAAGACTTTGAGGTTGCTGTAAGCTATGATGCCATAGCACTCTACTGGGGGCAAGAAAATGATAGTCTGTCTCAAAAAAAAAAAAAAAAAAAAGGAATGTGCTTTGAACTTCTTTCAAAAATATATTAATGATCTTTAAAAATTTTCACAGCATGGCCTGGGCCCATAGCACAGGGGTTACGGTGCCAGCCACATACACCAAGGGTGGCAAGTTCAAACCAGCCCAGGCCAGCTAATTAACTGCAACAAAAAAATAGCCAGCATTGTGGCAGGCACCTGTAATCCCAGTTTCTTGGGAGACTGAGGCAAGATAATCACTTAAGCCCAAGAGCTGGAGGTTGCTGTGAGCTGTGATGCCACAATACTCCACTGAGGGCAACATAGTGAGACACTGTCTAAAAAAAAAAAAAAAAAAAAGGCAGTGGCACGTGTGGCTCAGTAGAGCACCAGCCCCATATACCAAGGGTGGCAGGTTTAAACCCAGCCCTAGCCAAACTGCAACAAAAAATAGCCAGACATTGTGTCGGGCACCTGTAGTCCCAGCTACTTGGGAGGCTGAGGCAAGAGAATCGCCTAATTCCAAGAGCTGGAGGTTGCTGTGAGCTGTGATGCCACAGGACTCTACCGAGGGCAACAAAGGAAAGACTCTGTCTCTAAAAAAAAAAGAAATTTGCAGCATACCTAAGATCCTCTCATGGCACATCACCTGAAAATCACTACCATACAAGCTCTACTATTCTATTCTACCTTGCACTTCTCTCTCTTAATTAAGGGGTTGGAGAGACTCTATTTGAATATAAAATTCATTCTATTCACAGTCAAGCTATGGTCATTAAGTTAGATTTTATGTCACTCTGAGTTTTTTTTTAAAAAAAGTTACAAAGCCTCAAGTTAAAAAGGAAAAAAAAGGCTCCGCGCCTGTGACTCAAGCGGCTAGGGCGCCAGCCACATACACCTAAGGTGGTGGGTTCGAATCCCCAGCCCGGGCCCACCAGACAACAATGATGGCTGCAACCAAAGAAATGGCCGGGTGTTGTGGCGGGCGCCTGTAGTCCCAGCTACTTGGGAGGCTGAGGCAGGAGACTCGCTTGAGCCC